AGGCTGGTCATTGTCCCTAAGCCGGATGCGGGCGGGCAGGGGTGCGCGGTGCCGGCACAGCATCACCGGGAAGCACGCGCCTTGGTGCCGGTTGCCTCCCATGCGCGGCGTGGACAAACACTTGAGCATCGGGCACTCTGCAGCAGAAACCACGAGACACTGATTTAATGTTTGTCGTTCGGTCGTTTCGTGTCCCTTTTGCCTTAGTGGAGATTGAGAAACTCTTTTCTGATGCTCGTAGAAGTGACGGGCAACCCCGGAACAAGAGTTTGGTTTCTGTAGAGACGAGCCTCGTGATAAATAGAGACGCGCTTTCTAATTTGGGGGTTTGTGATGTGGGTGGATGCCGTAAGATAAACCAGCTGCCAGGAACTGTCATCCCAGTGCTCACCTCCACCGCGGCAGTTACTGGCGAGGAAGATTAAACGGCCAGAAGTGCTAAAATCCTCAGTTTTGCATCCGTAGAGCAAATGGCTGCAAAACCTTGTCCGTGCAGCCTTGCCTGCGCGGGGCCCCCGCCAGCTCGGTGCTGACACAGCTCCTGCCCACGCCTCTGCCGCAGCGCGTTTCTCCTTTCAGATCGCCGTCCGAGCCGTTGACCCACTTTGGTCCTGCTTTGAAGGAGACAGAAGTCGGGGAGGACGCGGCGGGGAGGATGCGGTTATGCCGGCGGGAGCTTTCTGCGGGCTGCGGTGTGGAAGGTACGCCCCGATCCCTGCTCTCAGTTCGGCTCAGCTTTGGGGGAAACACATAAAACCTGCCCGAGGGATGCAGAAACGTCATACGCGGGGCCACGTCTTCTCGCAGAGCTGTTCAAATAACCGGCCCCACTGAAACGATGACGTGCCATTTCAGCCCGGTTTTTTTTTAATGTTTTTTCATGTGCTTTTAACCAGAGGTTCACATAACCCTCTGCCAGGGCCTTCCCGCATGCGGGAACTCACGCTCCGGAAGAGGAACTATTGTAAAGGATATTAATAAATACGTTACCTCGACAGGTTCAGCACCAGAGAAGCAGCCCACCTCCCTCCTCCCTCCCAGATTTTGTCCGGCTCGTTTGCCACATACCTACTTTCAGTTTTTTCTTATGAACAGATAAATGTTTCATTCCTACGTCTCCGCAGCAGGAAACCTTTGTCCCAGTCCACAGAGCACTGGTGACACAGCAGCCGAGCGTACGCTGTTTTCTCCCCTCCTAGCTGACTGCATTGCAGTGCTACTGAATTTGCAAGGTATCAGGGTTGCTCCGCACTCTTTGCACAGCTAGAACCTACTTTACCTCCTTTCCCTGGCAACGGACAGGGGAGGGAAATGAGTATTAGAGCAAACAGGATGCAATAAACAATACAGTTTTGTTCCTGATGCAATTCTTGCTGCCGAAACAAATACAGAAAATAAAGTTTCAGGCAGCGCCGCGGATTCCAGACGAACTGAAGCTGGCTGGTGGCTGCTTCTTTTCGCCTACCTGGAAGCAGTGACTTGCTGCAGCGCTTCTGCTGCTAACACCGCAGCCTCAAAAAGGCAGCAGGGCTGACGCACCGGTGCCCTGTGTGTCTGTTGCCGCCTTACTCGAGCGACAGCAGCAGCAAAGAGCTGTGAAAGCCCATCCGCAGGGGGAGGGAGCCCCACCTGGGGCTGGTGGCCGTTGTGGCCCCGTAGCCGCTCTCGGGGCCGTGGGGCAGGGTTAAGGACGGGCTCTGTAAAGGGGTCGATTCGGCAAACCCGGCTGTTAGGAGGGGTGCGAAGGAGGGCTGCCTATGGGCAGCTGTAGCAGCTCTCCCTGCTGTAGAAGCCCAACGCGCACCGAGTGACAAGCTGAATGACGTCACTTCGCGGCTGGAGCACGGCTTACACCATCTCCTGCAACAACAGATTTCAGGCTTTGGCTAGATCCTGCACAAAGGGAATCCAAACCTTGATTTCAACAGCCATGCCAACCAAACACAAAAACAAATGTGGTAACAGAAGAAACGAGCTCTTTGGTAACTCCCTAGAGAGCACAAACGCGATGAGACCGCAGCCTGGACTCGGTGCTGAACCTGAAGTGGCCGGAGAGCGGAGCGGGGGGGTCTCTTTGGGTACTTACATTCCTTCTTTACTTTTCCATCTCCTTCGTAGCCTTTTGTAGACAATCCTTGCGGGAAATACTAAAGGATCAGAAGAATAGGACTCTGGAATTGAGTCTGCGCGCAATCCTGTAGCACAAGGACTCGGCTTTCTGCCCCCACCCCAAGCATTTCCTCAGAGTGGTTGATGATGGTTTTTCTTGCCTGTATTCCCTTTCAAAAAAAAAACAACAACACCTAAATAAAGTTATTACTTTATCAAGCTAATTCAGTGAACCCGCAGCCAGTCTCTTGGGAAAGATTTCAGGACATTAGAGGCAGCATTTAACAAGACTTTCGAGGGTAAGATAAAACACAAGGGGTAGAGACACCACAGTGCTGCTCTTCGTTCCCCTGGGTTTAAAGAGATAGCGAGGCTGGCTGCGTGGAAATCATCCCCACTGTGAGTATTTCCACAAAAGGAAACGAACCCAAAGCACGGATTAATTCCCGGAGACGCTGCTGACACTGCTGCCTTTATCAGAGAAAGAAAAGTGGCATTCACCGAGGCTGGGCCATCGTGTTCTGCATCCAGCACACAGACAGGGCTTCAGGCTGTTTATTGTCATCTGCTCTATCTCCCAGTATCGCCACCGACCCTCAGAAGTCGGGTTTCGTGCCATATCCGAAGGATGGATAGCTCGGCCCGGCTGCTGTCTGCCTGACAAGAGCAGAAGTGGAATAGCAACTGCGCGTTTACCCCCGCCACGACGTTCAGCTTGTTCTTTCCTGGCTCCATCGGCCCCGTGTGATCACAGACACATCCAAGGAGCTGCAAAGACCAGTCCGTGCGCGCAGCCCCGTCTGGGAATGACGTGGGACCTGCCGGGTGCCTTCAGGCCATCGGCCGGCCGGCAGCCCGCAGAGCGCACAGTCAGGGCACGGCCAGCCACGGGCATGCCAAGACCCTTTCCAAACCGCAGCCACCAGCCCTACGGCCACGGCTCCTGGAGCATCAGCACCGCTTGGGACGTGACGGGGGCCACGGTACCCCCCAAACAAGGATGCTCGCTGGTAACTTGCTGCGCTCATCCCTCACCCCCAGCTGCCGAGACAGCCCGGTTGGCATTTTGGTTACGTTACACAACCTTGCCCACAACTTCTTTTTAAAGAAAAGAGACTTTGAGACGTCTTAATTACAAAATAACATTTAAAAGTTGTCAGGGTTTATTATCTCATCACACACAGTAATGATTTGCTTCGCATGTTGTAACCCGGAGGTTAACATGGGCCAAGCTGTTCCCTTCCCCTCCGCGCTGTACAGTGCCACGGGTACGGCCTTTGCAGGGGAATACAAAACTCGCAGTGTGTGGAAGGACGCGACAATTAAAAAGTGGATTTTTACCCAAGTGACCTGGAAAGCGTTTCCAAGCATCCTGCCATTTCGGGTTGCTCTGCTCTGACGTCGTTCCTCTGCTCTGACGTCATTCCTCTGCTCGTTCCCGTCCTTTTCGGTGGCCAAACTGAGGTTTCCCGGCTGCGTTCCCGTGTCCATGGGGGACACCAGGCACCGGCTCTTCGCGACGGAGGAGGAACAGCACGACGTGACATCTGCTTGCATTGATGGGCTGGCAGCGTGGTCCCTTTCTGCAGCACTTCGGTGTAGCTACTTGAGTGCACTAAACCCAAACAAAACCCCACGACGACACACAAGATTTTATGGCGAGGAAGCTGAAGCTGAAAATACAGGCAGTGACCGACAAGCCCAGAGTCTTGGTTTGCGGCTGCACGTCGCAGTGCCGGCGTGACCACGTCTGGCAAGCGTTCCGGCTGTTTAAAGAACTGCTGTGGCTGCAGGAGGCACCTTTAGCTCGGGTCTGGTTTGGGGAACTTTGTACAGCGATTTTCTTC